AGCGCTATTTATCCAGCTATATTTATTGAGGCGTGAGGGATGAATTTTAGGGTTTCTAAGGACTTTGCACATATTTCATTGCTCTGACAGAGTCAGGGCGGAAAGTTAGTTTTAAGGACAGTGATGTCTTTCGTATTAGATTTTTAATCTGCGTGAGGTTTGGGCCTAATCTGATATTCCGAATAAGAACCAGTTATTTTAATATGAAACTTAATATGAATGCCTAGTTGCCTTAGAAATAATTGTGCACAGACTGCTAATAGAGAACTCTGTCGCTACAGTGAGCACACAATCATTCTTAAAACCAATCGTTTCGCTTTATTTACATTGTTTTACAGAGCTTTTTCCCTTTGGTCATAAGTAATGTATTACAAAATTATGTTTTCATGTGTCTTTTTTACGCCCATCTGTTCCGCATATATTTGTCACCTCCTAATTAAGAAATGGGAGAAATAAATGCTGTTCTTATTAAACTCTGCCTCAGAGTGTAATAAATATTAATATAGATTGTATTCCCACTAAGCCTATACTGAAGTAACTGTTCATCTATTACCATTACACAATTATTCCTTTCCTTAGCCTCTTTAACATTTTAATAGAGCTTTTTGCATAACATAAACCATAAATTTATTGACATTCTTTATTATTTATCCTTACATTGTATAGCTAGCAGACTGTATTCAAAGGGAATGGCTTTCAGGACATGTGTGCACCTGTATGTCTGTGATGTACCATGTAATTTTAGACACAGTTGTGCAGGATTCACTTGTTTGCTATTCACTATCCAGCTCTGTGATGTTGTCTTATTAATACGCACTATTGTTTCTGCCTTCACTGAATCTGTGCCCTACAACTTTTGGGTTAACAACTGCATTATCTACTGCTTCATCCCACTTCATGACGACAGTTGAACACTTAAAGGGCAGTGAATCTGTAAAATATATATATATATATATATATATATATATATATATATATATGCGCTATACCCCATCATATATATATATATATATATATATATATATATATATATATACACACATTTTATATATATATATATATATATATACACATTTTATATATATATATATATATATATATATATATATATATATATATACACATTTTATATATATATATATACACATTTTATATATATATATATACACATTTTATATATATATATATATATATATATATATATATATATATATATATATATATATAAGATGTGTCCACACTGACCAGAGCTGTAGATGATTGAGTAATAATTGAGAAAGCTATAAAACTTTGAGAATAGAGTTATAATAAAATTATCATCTGGAATGCCTTGTAGTTTAACAGTGGTGCAAATTACTGTAAATATAATTACAGTATATTATTTAGCATTTAATAATTTCTTGCTGTTTCCCAAAACTGGAAATATGAAACAAAACATCTTAAAATTCACAAAGTGGACAAAAGTGTGTGGACACCTGACCATCACACATTTATACGCTTGTACATCCCTTTCTAAAACCCCTTTTTTGGCTAACAGCCGCCACTCTACTGGGAAGGCTTTGCACAAGATTTTGGACTGTGTCTGTGGGAATTTGTGCAATTTTCAGTCAAAAGAACATTTGTAAGGTCAGGCACTGATGTTGGACAAGAAGTTCTGGCTTGCAACCGATATTCCAGTTCATCAAGTATTCTTCTTTGCACACCACACTCGCCAAACCATGTCTTTATGGACCTCGCTTTGTGCCCAGTTTTGCTGGAACAGGAACTGTTGTCACAAAGTTGGAAGCATATAATTGCCTAAAATGCATGTATCTTTGTACGCTGTAGCTTTAGCATTACCCTTCCCTGAAACTAAGGGGCCTAGACCCTGAAAAACAGCCCCAGACCAATATACCATGTACTTCAGCACTCAGCGGCCACTCTGCGAGTTTGTGTGGTCTGCTGCTTCGTGACCGAGCTGTTGTTGCTCCTATACGTTTCCATTTCACAATAATAGCAATAACAGTTGACCGGGGCAGATCTAGCAGGGCAGACATCTCTCACAAACTGACTTGTGGCAAAGGTGGTTTCCGATGACACTGCCCACGACCTAAATCACTGAGCTCTGCCAGTGTTTGTCTATGGAGATTGCATGGCTATGTGCTTGATTTTATACACCTGCTAGCAATGTGACTTCATGCTTATGTCATAAAAGTGAATTCACATTGTAGCCTATGTACATGGATGTACACTGTACTAAAATAGTACTAAAATAAACAATAAAGTAAGTTGATATTAAAAAGCTAGTTGATATTAGTCTACTTAATAGTTGTTTACTAGTAGTATAAATATTGCATTCATAGTTTTTGATAGTATTTTTAAAATATGGCTACTTATTAAACCTCAGAGAAGCTAAATATCATGATGCATATTGTGATATTATATTTTTGCTATATTGCCACCATAATCAGTGTAAACCCTGCAAGAAAAAAGCATTTACTTACATGGCTGGTCACTAGCACAACCAACATACGTTGTTTTGGATGCTTGGTATGTTGGTCAACCAGCATGATCATGCTGGGTGAGCAGCTAGAACAGCATCAGACGAGCATGGAATTCATTTTCAGTAGGGATGAATGTGACATTCCATATATCCAAAAAGCTAAAAATGAAGAAAACGTGGATGAGAATGACAAGAGGGGCACAATAATTACTGTTCATGATGTTAAATGTTATATTGAGGTATGCTGACTATTTAAAAGAGGCTTGTTGAAGACCGAACATGAACATTTTCTCTCCAATGTTCCTATATAGCCCTTTGTAGGCTAACAAAAAGTCTGTAGACTATGAACACAAATGTTGCTTCACATGAATCCAAACACCATAAATGAAGAAAAAGTAAGTCCAGTCCTTTTTGTCCATTTTGTTTTCACAGCTGTCTGATAATGAGCCTGTGAAGTGCCATTGTAAACAAAAGTTTGCAACCACATTGCATTCACTTGCAATAGTTTTGCAATCCCTCGCAAACATTTTGCGTTCACTTGCAATAGTTTTGCATTCCCTCACAAATGTTTTGTGTTCACTTGCAATAGTTTTGCATTCCCTCGCAAAAGTTTTGTGTTCACTCGCAATAGTTTTGCATTCCCTTGCAAAAGTTTTGCGTTCACTTGCAATAGTTTTGCATTCCCTTGCAAAAGTTTTGCGTTCACTTGCAATAGTTTTACATTCCATTTCAAAAGTTTGCATTCACTTGCAGTACTTTTATTTACCCTCACAAAACATTTGCGTTCACTTGCAATAGTTTTGCATTCATTTGCAATAGTTTTGCATTCTCTTGCAAAGGTTTTGCATTTGCAAGGGAATGCAAAATGATTGCGAGTGAATACAAGACATTAAAACAGGAACACAGAACGGCAAAAGGTCTATGTTGGCATGGTTGAAACCACCACATTGAGTGCCTCCAGATTAGGGTGACAAGACGTTCCTGGTTTTGGTGGCCTGTCCCCCGGCAGGAGCCCTCCCCAGAAATGTCCCCTTTTTTAACTGTGAATTAAAAACACACCGGAAGTCCTAAGAAAGGCCTGGCAGCAGATGGGGCTGCTTCTGCTATCCACTGACCATTTCTACCACTTGCTTGCCTTGTTTTAGAGAATACATCTGTGTAAAACTCGACCAGAACATCATCACAAATGCCTTTTCGGGACACAATATAAACCAGGGATTAAAAGTAGGGGTGGGGTTATGGGCCTTGAATCATACTACCAGGTGATAGGCATGCTGATTTGTATAGGCATACAATCTACTTGAATGTAGGCATATATTGATATGTCATATGTCACATGTTATTTTTGTCTCTCCAGAACTGGAGCTGGCCCAGGGGTGTGTTTAGGGTCTGGCTATTGAGCTATAGCCACAGGTCTCCTTTTACCGCCAAAATATTGAATATGAATTATGGGCTCATACAATCACTGAATCTTTTGTGGTAAACGTATCCCTGCCTCATCCCCGCCTAAGATGCTGCACTTAGTAACTTTTGAGACCCTTTTTACTTTGTGACTTTCTAAAAAGTGCTGAGTGACAAATTTCATTAAAGGGAAAGCAAGAAATCTAAATCTTTTATAGGACTATTGTAGGTTATTCCCATGCATTACCATTTTCTTTGAGTGTCCCATAGATTACCATAGCTTCACTTACTATGGTAGACTAGTGTATGATTTTCTGACACAGTTTACAAAGTTACCTCGTACCCAATTTTATCAGTCAGCCTTCATCATAGTTTATTAGGTGTAGAGTACAACAGTTACCATGGTCAAAACACATGAAACTGGAACTGCCTCTGTTTTTGGTTTGGAAAAGGTATCAGTAAATTAAGGTAGCCTGAGAATTAAGGTGGCAGTGGAATTAAGGAGGCATTTAATTTAAGATAGCACGAGATTTAAGGTCGCAGTGTATTTACCTTGGCAACAACCTGGGACACCATAGCAAGCACCTAGCAACATCTTACCAAACACCTTGGATACCATAGCAACCGCCTAGTGACATCTAAGCAACACTTTAGCAATCATCAACAGTCTTCCACTATTTTTTTATTTTTATTTTTATTATTTAACGTGATTAGCTGGCTTTTTCCCTTTTTTCCCTTTCTAGTTATTATTGTTGTTTCATATGAAGCCACTACAGCAATTTGGACCCATTTGGTTTGATTCCTATGCTCACTTTACACCTATATTTCTACATTTATTGACCTTTTTGATTTTTAACAGTGTTTATTGCGTGTTTTCTTCTTGTTTTTAGTACTGCTGCTACCTGAACCAGACCTGAGTACCTCATTTCGTTTCCCTTCACGTACAAAATGTTCAGGAACGACTAATAAATCAATCTGAATATGAACGTTTGCGAGGATCGGCTAAATTATCGCGAGAGTACGTCGATTGGGGCTCATTGTTCAGGTCCAGGAGCAGGTATTAGCATTGATCAGCCTCGTGCCTGTAGGTGTACTTCTCCCGGGCGTCGGTGGTGGGAGCCATTTCTGATGAAGGAGCGGTTTCTGATGAAGGAGAGCGAAGCGGAGCTCCCTCGACTTGGAAGAAGCTGCTGAAGACCGAACTCAGGCACAACACTTTAATTTAAGCCCCGCGTCGTTATGAATGCGACTTTCTCCTCGTAGAGAAGGAGAGAAGAGAGCGCGGAGCGGAGGAGAGCCGAGGCGGCCGAGTGGGAAGGTGAGTTGGAGTTAGCCCGCTGCGTTTTCTGCCTGAGGTGTGAATGTGACAGTTGGCTGACGAGTTCGAAAAGGAGTGAAAAGTTTTTTCCTGCGGCTCTCACTGCCCTTCTCTTTCACTGCGTCCTGCTCGGGGGACCTGCGGGGATGTGTTTTGTGTGCTGTTTGTCCAGTTAGGTTCGCGGTATTTAAGTAAATCGCCACTTTCGTCTCCTGCTGCGCGGTCCAGCTCCGCGCTCGTGCCTTTTCTTCACTTAGTCGAACCGCTGGCGGCCTCAGGAAGATGGAGATGTGCAGAGATACGACTCACACCTTCCATTCCTCATTTTATTAATGTAAACGGCACAGCTGTGAGCTTTTACTGTGAAACGTAGCGCTGCTGTAACCGGGTACTTTCACTATCAGCATCTTTTTATATCTCTACTGTAGTGTTTGTGCAGCAATCAAACCAAACCTGTTCTGACAGACTAAACGCAGTTTTACTACCTCAGCACTGTAAACAGGGAGTATAGCCTGACTTGTGGCTGCAAATGTTGAGAAAAGGGTTAAAATGTCAATATTTGAGGTTTAAAATGACTTTTTAATGTAATACTCCTTCATATCCCTGTTCAGATGTGGCCATGTGTAACACGTTCACACTACATTTTACCTGGACTCTAAAGTGAACTGCTATTCAATATAGGGCTGCTCGATTTTGACAAAAAAACATCATCACGATTATTTTGGTTAATATCAAGATCACGATTATTTAACACGGGAACATCATGCGTTTATTGAAAAAAAAACTTGTAATATTAATATTATTTCCTTGAACTTTAAATGTAATTCAACTCAGAAATAAATCATAAAATGTTATAAAATAAATAAATACATAAAATATATTTATATATTGTATATTACTTATTTTGTTAATTTTTTAATATTATTTCCTTGAACTTTAAACGTAATTCAACTGAAAAAAATAAAATGTTATTAAGTTTATAAAAAAAAAAAATATATATATATATATATATATATACATATTGTATATTGCTTATGTTGTTTATTTTTTTTAATATTGTGTCCTTGAGCTTTAAATGTAATTTAACTGAAAAAAAATCAAAACTGTTATAAAATAAATAAATGAATAAAATATTTCTATATAAATAATTATAAGAAATAACATTATTAACACAATACATAATTATACATTTAAATAAATTATATAAAAATAATAAAAATCAATAAAAAAAACTACCCACAATCTACTGAAAATGACTAAATATATATAAAATAATTAAAAAAAATAAATTAGACCAAAATAAATTAGATTAAATATGTTGTAGTGCATTGCCATTATAGTTGGTAAACTATATGCAACATATTCTGGTCAGTAACTCAGTCCAAGTTAAAGGCTGGCCCACCGCTATAGAAGTAATGGAAGATAAATGTTCAGCTACAACTTAAGACTAAATAAAAGTGATTTAGGCCAACATAGCAGTGCCAGTGGGGCTGCTCTATTTTGGTTTCGCCAGAAACACCAGCCTGTTTACAGGGTCTGGTTGGTCTGGACAGTATATGACAAAGGCAAGGGGTGGGCTGAGAGCATCACTGTGATGAGCGACACGATAACCATTTTATCTCATCTTCTTTTTTTATAACTGTTAGAAGCCAAAATCGTCATTGAATATGAAATTCAATGAATTGCCCAGCCCTAGTATTCAGTGTAGGGTTGGGCAGTATAACTGTATTTATTCTTATCATGATAAATAACACCACTGTAAGGTTTTCTGAGCAGATTGTCGATATCGTCAGTACCTCAAGCATGTTTCATTGCAAAGCGAGCATCATTTGTCCTGTTTAGTTGGACTCAGTACAGTGCAGTGTATGTCTTATCAAACCTGAGAAAAACAAATATTGTGATGCATATCGTGATGTAATATTTTTGCCATATTGCCCATATATGTTATATCTATGTTATTACATTCTGTTTCTTTCCCTGTAGATGTCCTGCAGCTTATTGACAGAGTTGAGGGTCCCCTAATTCAATCAGGTGCTTGGCTTCACCCTCAAATGTGCCATTGTATGGACTGAGGTAAGCGCCTCTTGTTCAGCGCTCCGTAACTGCTCAGATAAATCACATTAGCGGGGCTGTACGTGGCTGAGGTATTTATAGAAGGAAGTGACAGTATGCAGTTGTTACGAGCTCACTTTTTGCATAGTGACCACCCTTACTGTGGAAAAGCACAAGCGTGCACACGCGTCATTTTCCCTTCACTTAATGCACATATTTTCTCTGAACACACATCCACTGTTGCTGTGTCCTAATGAACGTTACGCTTCTGTATGTGTGATTTGGAAGCCGGCTCCTCTAACCCAGGCCGAGATAGCGCTCATTAGGTTGTCTGCGGAGAAGGAAGCTGTGGGAACTTGAGGGAGAGCAGTCCGGCCAGCTGCTCCCAGTCCCTCCGGACCGTCTGCAGTATCGCTTTTGAATGAGCTTCCACGCTGTCCGTCCCAGTTCAGGAAGAGAAAAAAAAAGAACGTAAACGAGGTTCAGACCTCCTCAGCCTCCTTCTCAGCGCAAATAACCAGAACCAGCTGCACGCTAGCGTACCTTATGGAGGGATATTTATATGAGAGAGTGTCGCTGAAATGTTTCATGCACTGTGTTACGTTACTGTACTAAATAAGTAATAGACACCGGGATAGTGCTGTAGGCGAAGGGTGCTGATTCTCAGTCGTGGTGCTACGGTATCTCAGCCCTGAAGGCTTGTTTGTTATTGACTGGTTGGATCAGGGCAGGGATAATGGGGGGGGCAATATAATGAAATTTTATTGTTATTGTGATCAACTACATCACAATATAGCTTGCAATGTAGCTTGTAACAACAGAAGAACCCATTTTCATGCTATATAGAACCGTTTTCTTTTTTTTTTTATTTTATTTTCATTAGAATAGCATTGTGCATATAAAACCGTTTGTAAATATATGGATGTATGTGTGTGTGTGGTTCTTTAGGAGTTCTTTACACACTTGGTTACGATGGTTCTTGAAGGATTCTTTAGTAAAGAAAATGGTCCTATATAGAACCATGAACACTCAAAGACTCTGTTAAAGTGTTATTTGCACCATTAAAGTGAAATCCTTTTGAAAAGCGTTCTATATAGCACTAAAAAAGGGTTCTTCTGTTGTTACAGGCTTGATATTATAACAGTAGAAGAATCCTTTTTGGTGCTATATAGAACCCTTTTCAAAAAGGTTTTCTATAGAATCATCTACAGGACATCAATCTGAAGAACGCTTTAACGATGCAAAGAACCGTCAAAGCATGCAGATGATATTTTCAGTGTTCATGGTCCTATATTAAGCCATTTTCTTCACTAAAGAACCCCTGAAGAACCATCATTAAGACTGTAGTAAAGAAAATGGTTCTATATAGAACCAAGAACACTGAAATAACCCTTTGCATGATTAAAGGGACTTTTGTTCTTCAAATTGATAAAGAATGTGCTGTAGATGGTCCTATATAGAACCTTTTTCAAAAAAGTTCTATATAGAACCATCTACAGGATAGTCTCTATCAACCTGAAGAACGCTTTAACAATGTAAAAAACTCTTTAAGCATGCAGAGGGTTCTTTGAGTGTTCATGGTTCTATATACATAACTATTTTCTTTACTAAAGAACCCCTGAAGAACCATCATTTTAAAGAGTGTGGTAAAGAAAATGGTTCCATATAGATCCATGAACACTGAAAGAACCTTTTGCGTGTTTTTCCAAATTGATGGAGGATATGCTGTAGATGGTTCTATATAGAACCTTTTTGAAACGGATTTTATATAGCACCGAAAAGGGATCTTCTATTGTTGTGGTGTCAGGCTTGTTACAATAGACGAACCCTTTTTGGTGTCATATAGAACCCTGACCTACGTCTACCTGCAGCTGTTCAAGAAGTACTGATAACACCCACGATATACTCAGAAAAGCATATTGTGACGTTATGTATCGTGATAACAGTAAAATATCATCATATCGTCCATCCCTGCTAGCAGTAGAAGGTATGTCACCAGTTAATGGACATCGTAATGGGACTGAACGCTTGTGTGGGGAAGTTGTCTCAGCACTTTCTGCAGTAGATCTGTGTGGTCTGGCTCTGGGTGGCTGCATAAGCCTCGTCAGCTGGCTTATTAAGACTGTTTTACCGCTTATAATTCATTGTAGCGAAAACGGTGGAAAAACACGGCACAATGCAGCGCTCTGTTCCACGCTCTATCGCGGAGCTTCGCCGGACCATGCAAGACGTACTTACATCAGCGAGCTCCACAGGTTCTAAGGCAGAGCCGGAATGAGCACACAGACCACAGGCAGTCATGCAGATCTCCCTGTTTTATATGAATCGACTGTAGGCTCTCATTTTCCTTCTCTCACTGTGTTTTTTCAGCGTTTCATTAGCGTTACTGTTGCTTAGTGCTCATATTGTGGAACTGAGACTGATTGTTGCTTTGGATGTTATAGTGTTCAATCATGTATTGTTGAGAAATTTGAAGTCTTTATCTTAGAAGGTCTGTAAACTGCCCATCATTGAATATTATAATGTAAGGGCAGATGTTATGGCGTAATATATATATATATATATTGTCGCTGTCCAAAGAAAACCAAGAATCATGAGTTCTAATAGAAGCTTTTCATGCTTAAATGGTTCTTTGCATGGTGAAATCGAGCTTCAGAATAATGGTGAATATGGTTCTATATAGAACCTTTTTGAAAAGAGTTCTATATAGCACCAAAAAGTGTTCTTCTGTTGTGACAGGCTTGATATCATAACAATAGAAGAACCCCTTCCAAGAAAGTTCTGTATAGAACCATCTATAGGACATCAATCTGAAGAACCCTTTAACAATGCAAAGAACTCTTTAATCATGCAAAGGATTCTTTGAATGTTAATGGTTCTATATTGAATCATTTTCTTTACGAAAGAACCCCTGAAGAACCATCATTTTTAAGAGCGTGGTAAAGAAAATGGTTCCATACAGAACCATGAACACTGAAAGAACGCTTTGTATGATTAAAGGGTTCTTTGATTGTGAAGAGGTTCTTCAAATTGATGGAGAATGTGCTATAGATGGTTCTATGTAGAACCTTTTTGAAAAGGCTTCTATATAGCACCAAAAAGGGTTCTTCTGTTGTTACAGGCTTGATATCATAACAATAGAAGAAACCTTTTTGGTGCTATATTGGATCATACCAATTTATGTATATATATATATATGAAGAAGAAATACTCCAGATTCTGTTCTATTTCTAGGTCACTGTTCAAATTAGAGCACATTTGTGACCTTGATTTCCTTGATCTCTCTAAGCACATGTTTAGTTGACCCTCAGGTGGGATTTGATCTACTCATCAGAGGCTTGTTTAAGTCATTAAAGCAGGGGGACAAACCAGATATGAAGAAAATTCACAAATTCATTTAAATACTGGTAAATCATGCTTATAATATAATTTGTAATAATAAAAAACGATTGAATTAGAAAATTGTGCAATACAGAAGTGGTCTCTGGACTTTTTGACCCCACTGTACAACGTATACAACGCAAATCGTGATGTTATTTATCACACTAAATATATCACATCATCATATTCTCACCTTTATTGCAATATGAGAGTTTATTTCTATGCTTCTGGGGCCTTTGAAGACCTTATCTCCCTAAACCTGGAAACTGTCCATTATCATTCGGGTTTGTTTCACCGCAACACTTGGTAACGTTTAGTGTAGGTATTGTAGCCCCCCTAACAGTGTTCCTTTGTTTGTGCACGAAAGTAAAAGGATCTGCCGTGCCCTGTCCCTTGACTCTCAAATCTACATACCCCAAGGGCTGCTGGGAGAGTTTAACAAGCTTCTGATGTTGCTGGAGAGACGGAGCCGTTTTACATTCTTTCACTAAGGTAGAAGCCTGGAGCATCCTGGTGGAGAGCAGAGGTCAGAGTGTAAAGCGGGCATGGTGAGGAGATGGAGGCTCGCTTTCATCTCAGCTCTGCTTTATTGTTATTCCACACATGTACTACTATATAAGTGTGACAAAAGTCTATAAAGGAGGCTAAATACTTCACCATATATAGCCTGGATTTTTTAAGAGTAGTATCATCTCAAATGGAACATGTTTTATACTGTAAACAGAAATGACAGATTTCTGCATGGTACCAGAGACATAACAAAGGAGGAGGAGACTGATTGAAAAAAGAATCGGAAAACCTGTAACACACAACATGGCGTCTGTTTAGGGGGAAAGTCCACCAAAAAAAGAGCGTGTTGCTGGGAAAACCACAAGTTGGTAAAAAAAAAGCACTCTCTCCTAGTGGAGATGGGCAGTAGCCAGAACTATAAAAAAATATTTTTGGTGCTTTATTTGAGCCAAACGCTACAAGCCATTTGGGGGTTTTTGCCAGACTTTACGGGTGATTTCAAATATGTTTTTTAAAAAATGTTAATATGGCATTTATTTTATAGGATTATGGGTCTCTCACTCTTCAGTGAGATAGTAAGCTGGTGTTGTATGACTGGAACTGGCCAGAGATGTTGCCAAGATTGTCGAGTGGACAGGGATTGCTGTAAGGACTTTGACAGTACCTCATATCTTTGAAGGTTACATAAATGCAAACTGGTCATCTCTAGTGAAATTTGCCATTTTGAATGATGAACCTGCCAGTCGCATGAATTGTGTAGATTTAAATACTTTAGAAAAGGTGGGGAGTCTGCTGTTAACAGAGAATTTTAGGAGAATTCCTTCTCCTCCTTAAACATTATTATTTAGCCAACCAACAGATTCAGTTTTTAAATATTATAAGTCAGTCAGATCTAAGATAATGTTACCGAAAAGGCAAAGAAGGCCAGTTTAATTTTTACATTTTTAGATTTCTTCCTTTAATAGCTTTAGACCCGCAGGCAACAAAAGCTTACGAGTTGAAAATGATCACAGCATATATATCTGAGATATATGTAGAACATCTTGATTTCTATAAACTGCCGTAACCGCTATGAGAGATAAAACAACCATCTTCTGATTACGTTGCAAGTGGCAATCACCGGGGTCCAA